TCACCACCATCACCCCTATCAACGTCACCATCACTGTCAACATCACCATCACCCCCATCAACATCACCATCCCCACTGTCAACATCAACATCACTGTCACCATCACCATCATTACCATCACCCCCATCAACATCACCATCAGTATCATCATCACCATCACCGCTATCAACATCACCATCACTGCACTGTCATCACCATCACCACCATCATCATCATCACCATCATCATTTCCACTATCACCATCACTTCTATCACCATCACTACCATCACCGTCATCACACTGATACTTGTTAGAACTCTCTTGGACTACATTTACACGTTATTATGGTGACCGTAACTTTTAGTCAAAGTCAAGACTAGCTTTGTGATGTGAGGGAAGTCAGATTTCCACCTCCTAAGTCAAATTATCTGCCAATGCTGGCAGAGTCCCACAAGTTCCACCTTAATGATGGCTGGCATGGCTAAGAGTGTAGTCATTGGAGTCTGGCTTGAGTCCCTTTCCTGACCCCTAACAGCGGTGTGGGCTCAGGGAGAGCTGGGGTGGAGAGATTGACAGCACCCAGCATGTGGTGCTAGAGGACGGCCTGGGGTGAGGGAGTGAGGCACTTTGCACAGGTGAGCCTCCACAAGAGACAGGGACAGGGCATACTCACCCATCTCACCCATCTCCCAAGGGGGTTCACTGGGTGGGTGAATTCTGAGGACCAGCTGAGGCGGATGAGTGGGGTAGGTGACAACTGTGCTCTGTGGTGCAGGGCCTCAGGTGACGCAGGAGTCACCCCAGGTGCAGAGGGAGCCCACGATGGAGCCAGAGGAATGCGGGTCACTGGCCCGTTTTCTCTGGAGAGGAGTATGGGATAGAGGCCTCCATGCAGAGCAGCAGGGTGAGTGGGTGGACACAGGAGGTGGAGCCATGCTGGTGGTAGCCATGGCATATGTGGGCCCAGAGACGAGCATGATCTGTGGGGCCCCTGGCTCGCACGCTCAGCAAGAATGTCTGGGGCATCAGGGGGCCAGGCCTGGGGGACAGTGATGAGCCCGAGATGGGAAGCACAGCGGGCTCTCATGGGCGTGGTCTGCAGGGCGGGATGGGGGCAGGCAGGAGTTGGGCTGACACGCTGCCCCTCCCTGGACCCCGTCTGCTTCCCAGGCCCCAACCGTTCCTGCGGCTGCACCTGTGGGCAGGGCGTGCATGTCCTCATGGAGCAGCCACTCGGGACACTTTGCACCGTGATGAAGCTCGTCGCCCAGCCTGCCCTAGCCGTCAGTGAAGACAGGAGGTACTCAGGAAGGAGACTTCCCAGGGAGACACAGCAGACCTTCCTTAGGAAGAGGTCACCAGACGTCCCCTCTTGGGCAGTCTGTCCAGAGAGGAGCTTGTCCGGGATCTGAGTAACCACTCATTGGGGTCTTTACCCAAAACAGCCACTGAGCCCCCACACCCCCTCAGCAAGGCCACGTGGTGTGCCCTCGGGTTGGCAGCCCCATCGTTGAACCCTCCTGACGTGTGGGGTGCACCCTGAGCTGCCCAGCGAGAGAGGACCACTACCGCACTGCTGGTTTGGCTCTTAAGGAGTATATATCACGCCATCTTTCCCTTCTGCGTTCTGAACCAACAGAAACATGAATCAGGGACATCAGAATGTCAGCTTTGTTTGGACAAGAGCTAGATTGGCGGACTTGGCATGGCCGTGCCTGGTGGGCTCCGAGTGCCCCCCCCCCAGGGTCAGACAGACCCCACCAGTCACCTCAGGTGACAGCTAGGTAGTAAATATTTCAGGATTTGCGGACCACATGATCTCTGTTTCACCGCCACTATTGTAACTGGAAAGCAGACACACGAAGTATGTAAACAAATGGGTGTGACCATGTTCCAATAAAACTTTATTTACAAACACAGGTGGTTTGCCAGTCCCCGGGTTAAAGTGGCTCAAGGAAGAGTCGTTCTCCGAAGGTTCCTGCCACGTCTTCCTGTTACGTGTTTGGTAATTTTATATACCACCCCATAACTTGTTGTTAGATGCCACGGAATCCGTTCCAACTCTTAGCGACCCCACGCACAACAGAACGAAACGCTGCCCAGTCCTGTGCCAGCCTCACAGTCGTTGCTCTGTTTGAGGTCGTTGCTGCAGCCACTGTGTCAGCCCATCTCATTGAGGGTCTTCCTCTTTTTCGCTGACCCTCTACTTTACCAAGCACGATGTCCTTCTCCAGGGACTGATCCCTCCTGATAACATGTCCAAAGTATGTGAGACAAAGTCTTACCATCCTTGCTTCCAAGGAACTGGCTGTACGTCTTCCAAGACAGATTTGTTTGTTCTTTTGGCAGTCCGTGGTATATTCAATATTCTTTGTCAGCACCGTAATTCAAAGGCATCAGTTCTTTTTCTGTCTTCCTTATTCATTGTCTACCTTTTTCATGCGTATGAGATGATTGAAAACACCATGGCTTGGGTCAAGTGAACCTTAGTCCTCAAAGCGACAGATTTGCCCAATGCAATGCGTTGTTTGATTTCCTGACTGCTGCTTCTATGGGTGTTGATTGTGGATCCAAGTAAAATGAAATCTTTGACACCTTCAGTCTTTTCTCTGTTTACCACGATGTTGCTTAGAAATGTAATTTCAGATTTTGTAAGAGTGTAAATTCTAAATTACCTCCAAAAATGAAGTTTTCTCCCCCTGAGCCTCAGGGTAAAATGGATTCTCTGGAAGGTTCTGCATATTTCCCTGGAGCTCCTGGCCTGCCCCCAGCCCTACAAAGTTGCTCAGAGAGTTAGGCGCCCAGGCCGAGTGCTCCTGAGACACGGAGACCCCAGGGTCTGCACCCAGGCCTCCCCACATCCACAGCCTACCATGCGGTACAAGCCCCGCCGGGTCAGCCATGGTCAGGGGCCCTTCTCTGACCCCCAAAACCCCAGGTACCGGAGCCCAGATTGACGGTGGCCTCCTTTGTGTCTTTCAGGTCCCCATCCTCATCCCGTGCCACAGAGTGATCAGCAGCAGTGGCGCTGTGGGCAACTACTCCGGAGGGCTGGCCGTGAAGCAGTGGCTGCTGGCCCATGAGGGTGGCCAGGTGGGGGCCGACCTGTTGGGGGCACGGGCGCAGCTGAAGGCGGGCACTGCGCACCAGGAGGTGCCAGCTGAAGCAAAGTAAATATCTGAGAGGCACGGAGGCGCAGCTCTGCATCGGCACCAGAGCATGGCAGCCCACTGCATTAAAAGCCCAGTGTCCTGGGGACACAGCTCACCTGCCTTCTCTGTTTTACGTCTCGCGCAGAACGAGGCCAGGCCCGGCCCCTTCTCTAACGCCGTGTTGTTCCACCTGCAGTGTCCGTTCCAGCAGGAGTGAGGGACGGCCTGGCAGATGTCAGAGCTTCTAGGAGGAGGTGGCATCTGGCTCTCAGGAACAGCAGCCACCCACATATGGCTACTGCTCAGAGCAAGAGAACATGTCCCAGGCCCAGACCCCACTTGGGCCTGTCCCACTGCCCCATGTCGGTCCAGACTAGGCGTCCAGCTGCCGCACGGCCCCATGTGGCCCTTTCCTCTCTGCTGCTGAGGTGGTGTGTTACGCTCATGGCTTCAACACCCTGCGCTCCACACCTGGCGTCTCAGAAGTCGGTGCTTAGCAGGGGTTCGCTCCCTTCCTTTTCCCAACTGCTAGAAAATCTGGTGCAACAACAGTTAAGCAGTGGGCTGCTAACTGAAAGGTTGGTGGTTCAAACCCATCCAGTGGGTCCATGCGAGAAAGACCTGGTGATCTCCTCCCATAAAGATCACAACCTTGGAAACCCTACGGGGCAGTTCTGCTCTGTCCTGTAGGGTCCCTGTGAGTTGGAATCCGCTTGACAACACGCCACCAAAAACACCCAGACCCGTTGCCGTCAAGTCGATTCTGAAACACAGTGACCCTACAGGACAGAATAGAGCTGGTCCCAGAAGGTTTCCAAGGAGCAGCTGGTGGATCCGAACTGCCGACCTTTCGGTTAGCACTCGAGCTCTTACCCACTGCGCCACCAGACTTCTGGATGGCACACAGCAGAAAAGCTAATGCACGCCCAGTCCCTCTGTGGGCTGTGTTGATTGAGTAGAAAATAGCCATTTGCCAAAACGATTTGGACGCATCACCGCTCTCGGGACGTGGGTCTGGCTGCAGTGGTGCCTTCCTGGGTGATGAAGTGAGCCTCTCGCCCCAAGCCCAGCCTCCCTCCTCAGTGTGACCACTCCTGGCCGCAGGTGGGAAGATCGCAGGTGCCTCCTCCCCAGAGGTGGCCCTCCCTGGGGCCTGAGCCTGAGGCCTCAAGGACCCGGGGTGGGCACAGCCCCAGCACCCCGACATTGAGCCTGGCGTGAAGGTGGGTTAGTGCATGGTGCTGCTGGCAGAGGTAGCATTTCCAACATCAGCTGCCCCCGCAATGTGACACTTCATTATCACGCTGTCATTTTAGCCTGGTAATTAACTATATCTGAAAAGCGGTTGGGAAACTTGTAGCTGTGTGTGCAGATAAATGAAATAGAGCATGTGATATATGGGGAAAATAAACTGGGCCGCAGACCGCCGTATTTTTATCAGGGGTTCCTGGTGACAGTGGAAACCACAGCAGGGAAGCTCAAGTGGTTTGTATATGTCACCAGAAACCTGGAACAAAAATACAGCCGTGTGATGTGTACGGCTGGGGTGTATTTTATTTTTCGTATTAGCGTGATAGCAACAAAGAACGGACACCTGATGTAAACAACCTTCAGGCTCTTCTCGCTAATTTACATCTTATTACATCCTTTTCTTGCAGCAGCCAGATTAATTCTGGATGTTTTTACCTTCAGAAAGAGAATCATTGGCCCCTGGTCTTCTAAGTCAGGGCATTCCCCACAGTTCATTTTCGGAGCGAGGTAGATGGTACTCGTCCAGCGCGCTGCATGCGAGGTCAGCGCTTTAAGACAGCTCCGGGCCCACACTCCCCACAGACCCCAAGCGTGCACACGGTCTAAGCCGACTCCCACGCCGGCCCTCCACGGTGTTCTTTCTCGCTGCACTTCCCTCCGTGACAGCATCTCTGTGTGTGTTGGCTTGAGGGTGGAAAGATCTGGAATGCTCTTGGCGTGTGGGTGCCTGCAGTGGTGTGTGCGATTCTCCCAGGAAGGGGCTCGATTCCGGGAATCGGGTCACCCAGAGTCGTCACGCTCCCCTTTCTTCTCTCCTGAGCAGACGGAAAACCCTGGTTCCCAAAGGCGGCAGCTCCGGCCTCCACTGGCCAGAAGTGTCCTGTCTGGCTGTGGTTTCCAACAGAGGGCACTCTAGCTCAGAACTGGCCCCTGTGGAGACACTGCGTGGCAGAGACCCCCATTCTCCGTCTTCTGCCGCCTGGGAGGGCTTTGCAGTGGGCAGCAGGGTGGGCTGTGGTCACTCCAGGGACCGGGCACTGCAGCCTGCCTGCACGTAGGTTCTGGCGGCTCCCTGGCGGGGGCACCTCCAGAGCTGGGACAGGTTGGCAGGGGCCAGGGGTCTCAGACCCCCTGAGTGTGTCCACCACGCCCGGCACTGGGCCACCGTCCTGGGCCCAGAGACCCGGTCCCTTAGACAAAGGAATGTCCTGGTGGACCCCTGCATCGCCACGCAGGGCAGGGTCGTGGGGAGGGGCCTGTGGCTGAACAGCCACCTGAGCGCAGGCAGTGAGCCTGCGCCCCAGCTCACGGAGACCCCACCAAGGCCGTCAGGGTGGTCAGCGGAGGTGACAGCTGGACCCGGCCATGGGCCTGTTTGCACCGTGCCGGGTGCAGCACACACCCACATTCCGGTTCTGTCCCTGAGGGCTTCCCGGCCCTGTCAGAGCAGACCCGATGTGTGCCCGAGGTCCCCTGGCACTGGCCGCACACCCGCGGCCCCAGGGACGAGCCCGCAGACGGAGATGTGGAGGCAGGTGCGGCCGTGTGGGTTGCCGGGAGCCACTCTGGCGAGAGGTTGCAGCAGTTTACAAAAATAAAGAGGAAGAGAAGAGGCATGAAGAAACACTCAAGTACTGTCCAAATAAGAAGCAGTGTGGAACAAGGAAGCTGTGTCCTTGTGCCGTGACCCCTTGGCTCTCTCCTGCCGGCGCCCCGCTCAGCCTGCAGCGCACAGAACCGCTGGCGAGGACCCCCGGCGAGGCCGACAGCTGGCCCGCAGCAGCTAACACCTCACATGCTGCTCTCCCCCACTTGCATCGAGCAAGATAATGAAAGGCTCAGAAGTAATGTTTGTTTTTGCGGAACCACATTTCTAATGAAGGAGATGCCCTTGAACACGGAGGAGACCACGTTTTGCCGGGGGTCCCTGTTCTCTTCCCGCAGGCCCTTCTTCCCTTTAGGAACCAAAGCCCAAAGTAAATCCACCCACTTTCGCCACTTCCTGTGGCCATGTCAGGGGATAAGGTAACAGAACACAAGCCCGAATTCTTTATGGCCAGGGAAGAAAAAATCTGTCTGAGCTTTT